TGTATGTACTCTGCATGTACCTGTATGTACCCTGCTTGCACCTGTAGGTACCTGGTATGTACCTGTATGTACTCTGCATGTACCTGTATGTACCCTGCTTGCACCTGTAGGTACCTGGTATGTACCTGTATGTACTCAGCATGCACCTGTAGGTACCTGGTGTGTACCTGTATGCACTCTGCATGTACCTGTAGGTACCTGGTATGTATATATGGACCAGGCTATGTTTTGTATTCCTACTGATAAATATATAAAGGTAAACCTTAAATACGGACTAAAGTTTCTTGGTGCCTTCAGTAAAAACAGAGCAGGGTTTTCAGCAGCTCCTACATCTTCATGAAGGCTCAGAAATCTGTATTTTATCTAAAAGCTGCTTTTCTTCCTCGGTCACTCCAACAGGAAGTGAGTCAGATTGGTTTATCAGGTGTCTTCATCGTGTTGCTTCCTGCTCGGTACCAGAGCAGAGCCGGTCTGAAGACAGAGATCCAGCTTTAATTACCAGAGATGGAGGACGAGATTTAATTTCCCAGGGTTCTGTGCGGTTCTGAGGTTTGTTCTGCAGCTCGGAGCCAAACAGATTCAGCTGCAGAGAGGGGAGTTCAGTCCTGGATCTCAGTTCTTCTGAATCAACAGGGTCTGATCTGAGATGAGATTAAAGGTTTAATCTGTGCCTTTTTTTAAAGATCTGTGATTGCTGAGTCAGCATTTCTCTTGTTTTCATGTTTCCTCTGAGCTGTTTTTGGACTGTAGCTCAGTCAGCGTACACTCAGCTACACGTGTATCAGAATACTGGGAGTGGTGGTTCTGATGGTTTGACTGGTTGTCCTGCAGCCGACCTGCTGGTCAACACGCTGTGCCTGCCCTTCACCCTGGTCTACACGCTGCAGGGGGAGTGGAAGTTCGGCAGCACCCTCTGCTTCCTGCTGCCGTTCGCCCAGGGCCTGGCCGTGCACGTGTCCACGCTCACGCTCAACGTCATCGCCCTGGACCGCCACAGGTGGGTGGAGCTTAACCAATGGTGTTACAAACCGAAAGAGGAGGAGCCTAAAAACAAAACTTATGTCCATTTTTTTAAAAGTAATACTGTTTATGTTCATTATTTACCATGTCTGTATGTTAGCAAAATATCTAATGAAACACTGGTCTGGTTTTAATGGAACTCTCAGAAATATTTATCTGGTCGTCTATTACTTTTATTTTAATTTTAACGTTGTTTTTTTTTTTGTTTTTAAATTTAAAAATGGATCATCATAAAAGCACATAATC